CCCCAAAACCCCAAAACCCCAAAACCCCAAAACCCCAAAACCCCGTTAAAAGAAAATAAGGTTGATGATATATATTAATAAATAGACTAAGATCCATGAATAATACTCATAAGTAAGCGATTATTAATGCAACTTGGTCAATCGGGGTAGCGCTGAGAGATCAATATTATTGGGGTCCAAGGCTCAAAGAACCTTACTGTGCACTTTGTAGTTTAGGGATCTGCCCTTGGCAATAGTTTCTCTTTGGAAGCAAACTAATATTTAAATAGCACCTATTCCACTGACCTCCATTCCTATTTTGGGAATTATCAGAACTCTGAGAACCCAATGAGGACTACTAAGCATGATGGTGCTGAACAATGTGAGCATACTGGAGTAAGCTCAGAATGCTAGCTTTATCTCATCTCATCTCTCTTTAGAGCATATTTCATTCATTTGATTGGCAAAAATACAGTACTAATATTGAAAGCGAGTACAACACTCGGGTGAATTCTTTCAGCACCTTCTCAGGTAAGCCAAGTTGGATTTAATTTTTGAAGATATTTGCTGATTACAGTATGTTTGGGTCGATTAAGAATCTGAAAACCTGTTTTACATCCGATATTTGTTTCATATAATAGTAGTTTATAGATCTCTGAATATGAACTTATCCCTAGTTTATCTAATTATTTCTTCTCTTACTAACATCTTAAATTTTTTTAGGCATTCAGAATTGTGTAGAACCGATTGAAATCTTCACTTTGGCACCACAACCAATTATTCTAAACCAGCCATTACTCTTATGGAAGCCTTACTGCTATGTGAGCAAGCCACAGATTACATTACCCCTTCCTGACATTTCAGAGGTTCCTCCAGTCGAACCCAAGTGAGATTTCAGGTATGTAAAGTTATATAAGTTTCTTAATGAAATACCCCTTGAGAGGGGTCATTCCTAAAGTTTCCTTGGAGACTTTAGCTGGTCCATTATTCATCACAAGACCTGTTTGACTGCATTAAACTGCTTAAATTCTGAAAATTATCATATTTTTAACCAGCTTATATAGGAAAATAGAAGTCCCAGTTAAAGAAAACTTCAAACTCATCGGTTTCCAAAGTAGTAGTAATGAGAGAGAAAGCATAACAAAAGCTATAAAAGAGAATTTGGATGACTATAGTAAGAACAGAAAGGGCATTGAAAAAAAACTAGCCAGCCTCAAGGCCTCTGCAATTAATTCTGAAGGAATTTTTGAGCAGACTCTTCCTAAGAGGAAACAATTTGAAAGTACAAAACCTCCTAAGTCCAGAGGATCTTGTTACAGAGGAGTTTCGAAAAATGGAACTAAGCATCAGGTTTTCATCATGATTAACAAAAAGAAGAGATTCATTGGTGTCTACAAGGAAGAACAAGAGGCTGCTAGAGTCTATGATAAACTAGCTATCATCTTCCATGGTCATAAAGTAAGCATCTCTATTCTAACAGGCATAGGCAAAGACAAATTACTCATACAAAGTCAGTGAGGTGGAACAAATCCTAGCTGAAGCAGACTCCCTGAAAGGGGAGATGATTGAAGTCTAAGTTACCATCTGACTCAAATTCCCTAGCCTGGAGAAGGCAACTGATATAAACTTAAATTTTGAATAATATTTCCTCAAAAAATATGTTCTTGGCTATGTCTGGATTAAAAATTTCCATATAAAAGATTTCTCCTTATGAGTAGGAATGTTTAATAATATTTTCCGTATCCTTGAAGGATGGTAATTATTATGGTTTATTAATCAAACGATAGGTTGACAAGAGAATATGTGTCATAAATGAGTGTAAAAAGTTCCTACAAAGAATGATTTCATCAAGAGTTTATTACCCATATCGCACTTTTAATTAAAATTTTACATAAAGTCATCTTTTAAAGAGTTATAAACTCTATTAAAATCGCATGAAGCGATTACCTGACATTTGACATAGTAAGCAAGTTTCTTAGTTCATATTATTAGGATAGTAAGTTTTGTGACCAAAATTGCACTAAAATCATACATCGCTATCTAAATATTCATCACATTTAAGGAAGGCCTTTAGAGTGGGTCCTAGAGTCTGCTTTGCTAGTAGAGATGTTTAAACTCCTTTCCTCTCCTTTATACATTATTCCTCAACGATTTTTGAAACCGAACAGCAGAAGTTACTATACTGAATTACTTAATTCTGGGTACCCAAAGAGAAGTTAGAGGCTCTTACTCTCTTGATGAGTTGTTTTTAATTAGATATAGCACTTGCTTTACGAGAAGAGTAAAGTTTTTGAGTATATATGCCCTCATAGATGAAGCATGTCTTCTGGTATTGGAATAGAACCCTTTGTGAAGAGCAAGAATCTTTCCAAGTTTTTGTAATTATTAAACTTTTATAAGCCAATAGCTCTATTCATTCGCAAATTTAGTAGCCAGGAGTACAGACATCTTTCAGAGTATATGCTTTAAATGTGCCAGCTTGCTTATTATTACCTAAGAATTTCCTCATGAAACTGAATCGAGTTATCTTGCAAGGGATATCCAATTTTTTATGAATTTAAGGAATGCTTTCTCAGTAAAGTGTCTGTTTAGAACTTCAAAAGTGCTATTTTATTGAGAAATATTCCTTGCTATCATTAAGAAGATAAATATGAGCTCCCTGTCTCCTTCATGAGCCTTTCTTTGAGCCTATGAGCTTGCTCAGACATCCGTTAAGACATATTATAGTAGAATAATTCAAGAATCAATTGATTTTTATGTTTAAGGGGTTTTGGGGTTTTGGGGTTTTGGGGTTTTGGGGTTTTGGGGTTTTGGGG